TGCGTGTGCGTGTGTGTGCGTGGCCGTGTGCGTGTGCGTGTGCGTGTGCGTGTGCGTGTGCGTGTGCGTGTGCGTGTGCGTGTGCGATTGCGTGTGCGTGTGCGTGTGCGTCTGCGTGTGCGTGTGCGTGTGCGTGTGCGTGTGCGTGTGCGTGTGCGTGGTGTGCGTGTGCGTGTTGTGGGTGTGCGTGTTGTGCGCGTGCGCGTGTGAGTGCGCGCGTGTGTGTGTGTGTGTGTGTGTCTGTGTGTGTCTCTGTGTGTCTCTGTGTGTCTCTGTGTGTCTCTGCGTGTCTCTGTGTGTCTCTGTGTGTGTCTCTGTGTGTCTCTGTGTGTCTCTGTGTGTCTCTGTGTGTCTCTGTGTGTCTCTGTGTGTCTCTGTGTCTCTGTGTCTCTGTGTCTGTGTATGTGTGTGTTTGCCTCGTGCAGCTTCGCCGACAGCACGCGGCCCGAACCGGCCCTCACTATTCCGCCCACGCTGTGTTTGAGGGCCTCGGTGGACAATCTCACTTCTTGTCGCAGACTCGGCGGTCGCGCCAGCCGGTCGGGCAAAGCAGGGCCGCCGCAAAGCCGAATTGTACACAAAGGGGCGAGGAGGATGCGAGCGGCGGCCGAGGAGGACGGGAAAAGGAAAGCGGCCCCCTCAGACCATGCCTCGATCTTCGATCCTCCTCCTCGATCCTCGATCGCTCTCCTCGATCCTCGATCATCCTCCTCGATCCTCATCCTCCTCCTCGCACCTTTGCCGCCGCGCCACGCCGCGCTGCTCGGACCCTCGGCCCGCCCCGCCGCGCCCCTCGGCGCCCGCAGGAGTCTCCACGTGAGCGCCTTATTTCCCTCCCTGGCTCGGGTACTGCCAGGGGGAACCCTGGCCCAGGGTGCCCCCCACAGGATCCCCTGGCAGAGTACCCCCTCGGCCCCAAGACGGCGCGAAGACCTGGGCCAGGACCACTTCCAGCAGCACCCGACCGGCGCCTTTCGTGCACGAATACCCGCTGCCCCAAAACTATGCGGAGGAAGGGAGGGAGTAGGCGGGAGGGGGAGGAAAGAGAAGGCCGCTGGCCGCCTCCTGCTCCCCCCCCTTTCTCCTTCCCCTTTTCCCTTCCTCCTCTTCCTTCTCCTAGAGATTGCGGAGGGAGGAAGGTAGGGAAGGAGGAAAGTATAAGGGATGGAGGAGGAGGCTTCGGAAGAGGGGGAAGGGGAGCACGGGGGGAAGGCAAGAATGAGGGGGGGAGAGAGGGGCAGGGAGGGGGGAGGCATGAGTGGTTGGGAGCGGGTTGCGCGCGCGGCACCTCATTTAGACGCTTGGTGTTGACTCTCACCTCGGCTCTATGTCGGGCTGGACAACGAGGGGGATTGGACAAGGGGCAGGACGAAATCTGTTGCGGGCCGCTTCTGTCAGCTCCGCCATATGGCCATTTCTTCGAACCATGGCTTCCTCTGGCGCTGGGAGGCGCCAGGAAAATTGGCTGCGTAACCCCCCTTGCGCCATCTCCCCCCCTCGTCCGCCCTGGCAATATGTTGTGCAGGTGCATCGCTGGGCGGGCGATGCACGGCGGGCCTGCTCTCCAATAACGTTTTGAGGTGTGCTTGGCGCGTGCACGCTGGGCAGCTCTCAGTAGTGGCGGCTATGCATGCTGTGTGTCAAGTGCATTCGGATCATTCCCCCCTCCCCACTCTCTACACGTCGTATGATGCTTCCATCCGTGTGCTGTGTTCTCTGTGGTCTTTTCCTGCCAGCCTTTGCCCCCAAACTCGATCAGTTCGCACGGGTGTACGATGAACGCTGCAGAGCGTTCCGTTGTGTGTTCAACATGTTTCAGAGGATGGTGGCAAGATGTGCCAGACAGGTCTACCGGGTATGCAAGCGGTTGTTGACATCGATGTCCTGGCCAGAGTTTCGTTCGCAACATGTCTTGTTGTTCGTGACATGTTCTTGACGCTTGCCTCGCATATGCCCCCATCTCATCTGCGCCTATCTTTCTGCAGCGGGTGGCGGTTCTAAGTACCAAGCGGTGCCCTAGTATCACGTTGCTCGATGGAAAAAGGAATGCTCCGCAGAGTTGGCGTCTAGCCCAGACTTACGCATGCCATTTGCGCTGTCGGTTCAGATGTCTCCGTCCAGCTGGTTGTATAGACGTTTATGTTTGTTGGTGTGGCTTGATCTCGTTGCCAGTATATCTACGAGCTTCTGCGCACATCCCCTCTTTCGCCACACGTGCGTGCCATATTCCCCTCCCTCTATTCTGTCCACATAGGCCTCCCTCTCCTCGCCATTGTCCCCCAATGATATTTAATGATGAGGGCTGCCTTGACCTGGCTCCTCCTCATCCTGCTCTTCCTCCTCCTCATCCTCCTCGTGTGAGCTGTGAGCTGATGGCGATAGAGTCGGACGGACGCCGCCCTCCCCCCACCCAGGGCCAGTCGGCCCTGGTAGGGGTGATCAAACTAGAGCCAGGCGATTCCTGGAGCACCGCTCCAGATGTCGACGGCTGATGGGGGGAAAAATAACAATAGGGGTAGCACGACAGACAGAAAGGAGGAAGAGAAGGGAGGAGGAATGAGGCATTTATATCAGGAGGGAAGAAGGGAAGGTGGTTGGCGGCGGCGACCAGCGTCCACTCTCGCCAAGGTGGAAGGCTCAAGGGCCTCTCCCCCTGCTCATAGAAACCCCCCACAGGAGCCCCCCAGGTCAACGACAGGATCATTCGTCTGCAAGCAGGCATAGGGTTCCCAGTTCGTTGACCCGGGGGCCACCTGGGGGGGTTCCACCGAGCGTTGGGGAGGTTTGAGCCTTCCGTGGCGGTGGTTAGGCCAAGAGGTGCTATGTGTTAGTGGCCAGTGCCATTTTCGCCGAGGTGGAAGGCACAAAGGCGTCCACCGGCCCCGCGATTAGTACCCTCACCTGCCAAGCAGGCGTAGGGTACCCAGACCGCGAGGCTGGTGGCCGCCGCGAGGACCTGGGGGGTTCCACCAGGCGTGGGAGAGGTTTATGCTTTCCGTGGCGGTGGCACAGCTTTCAAGTGTGACAAGCGATCGGGGAGGTGGGTGGGAGTTTGTTGGCTGTTGCTGCGTTGGTGCCTGCTGCCGCTTGGCCCTCGCACAGGTTGCCGGCGGCAATATCCGACCCCTCACCCCACACTTTACCCTCCCCCCTCCATTGCGAGCGCTGTGAGTGGCGGCTAGCACTGAGGTGGCAGGTGAACAGTGTGGTAATGCAGGAGTGTGGAGAGTGGGTTAAGCAAATGGGGCACACGTATGGGAAGGTGGGTGAGAAATCTATTATTTTCGTTGCGTTGGTGCCTGCGGTCGCTTCGCCTTCCCCAGGCGGCCCGCGGCCCGATCCGAACACTCCACCCCGCCGTAATACAATCCCCCCTCCATAGAAAGTGCCGTGCGTGACAGCTAGCAGAGAGGTGGCAGGTGAGCATTGTGGCGGTGATACAAGAGTGGGGAGAGGGGGTCAGGCGCGGATTGCGGCAGAGCGGAGGCAGGGGTGAGGCGTGGAGAGAGCGGGGTTCCACAGCGAGCCACATCGCCGATTCACTCTTTTACAGAGCGAGGTACACGTAAAGGAAGCAAGAGTTTGGAGGTAGCTGCGTGTGACATAGGAGCAAGAGCCGTGTGGTGGCTTGCCGCGCTGTCGACTGCGGCCGCCCTGGCCATCGCCGTGGCGGCCAGCGTGGTTTGCCCCCTGCATGCCACCCCCAGTGCCCGTTCCGCCCTCACCGAAGTCCTCCACGCGGCAGTTGAAAGTACAGCTGCAGTGAAAATCCAGTGCCTAGGGCAACACGTGTTGGAAGCACTGGGCTCATAGGGGGCATGTGACATTAGCGGTGGCTCGGCAGATGTTGTTGTGCGCCGCGGCCCCTTTGGCCCTCGCCAGGTAGGCCGACAACGAGGGCCGTTTGTCATCCCCCCAATGCCTAACCCCCCACGCCTCCCGCTGCCAGGTGAGCGGGAAGGAGTAAGAATGGTGTTCTTACACGACTGCGGATTGCCAAGCGCAGCAGTCACATGGATTCGCGATGTTGAAGTCCCAGGCAATGGTGTTCTGGCACGATTTATGGCTGCCAGGACGCAATTGCAGCGTTGATTCCCGGCGTTCAAGTTTGGGAGTGGTGTTCCGGCACGATTGAGGATTCGCAAACGATTGTCTTCCAATGGGGCACTTCCCGCAATGAAGATATAGTATTGCAGGGACATCTGAAGAGGGAACTTTGAGGTAGTGGTTATAGCAACGTCGTTGATGAGCCTTGGAGCTTCACTGGTCCTCCTCCTCCTCCCCCTCCTCCTCCTCCTCCTCCTCCTTCGGCATCCTTCGGCATTGGCGGGCACATCCCTCAAACGAAACATGTGGCCAACAAAAGGAAGGGCGGGGCGCACCTCAAGCCGTATTTGTCGTAGATGGAGTGGCGACCGGCGACGACAGGGCTGCCCCGCATGCGGAAGAGTAAAACTCCGCCCAAATCCTTGCCTGTCGGACTGGTCAAGGCTTCCTCGCAGCAACTCGAGGCTCTTCTTGGTATCGTTGTTGCGGGGGGCGGCAGATGCATTGGGTCCCGAGGAACTGGGACCTCTGGGACCCGAACGCCCCACATTTGGAGCACCACGCAACTCTCCCACCCCCTCGAAACAGTCGATGAGTAGGATGGGCCGTGCGAGCGATCTTGGGTGAACCCTTGCACGGCGCTTTACAGATACCTACCCGACTGCCTGTCCCTCCACATCTAGTGCATTGAAGCTTACAATTCTTGCCCACACTGATGAGTTGGTGACCAACCGCATCATGCACAAGCTCGAGAGAAGGACTTCGGACTCCTTTGGCTCGAACTTGTTCGACATATGGGAGGCCTCATCGCCTCGTGGATGAGGCAGACGCTCTTGGAAGCTTGGACCTCCTGCTCGGCATACAGCCGTTCTACCCAGGGGCTGTGGGGGTGCAACTCAGCCCCACGCTTGGCCAGGCGTTCGGCCTCACGGCTCCCGTTCCAAACCCAAAGCTTGAGGCTTTGATGAAGGGCTTGCATACAAGACAGGTGATATTTAGCTTTGATCAGGTGGATGAGGTGCAACCAGATATTCCTTCCTTTTCCTCTTCCTCCTACTTCTCTTCCTCCCCCTACGTTCGTTTCCTCCTTCTCTTCCCCCTCCTCCTCCTCCTCCTTTTCCTCCTCCTCTTCCTCCTACAGGAAGTCATCCAAGGGTGCCAAGCCCGCCAAGGACAGGAAGTCATCCAAGGGTGCCATGAGTGAAGGGACCCCTGGGCGGCGCGCTCGACATCGTGCCCCGACTCCTGTTGACGATGATGATGCTGGTATGTCTCCTGTGTCTATCGCCACGACGCCCCCTGTCACTCCCCGTCATCAACGGAAAGCTCGCGACCCGTCCTCCCGACGCTCCAAGCGTTCCCCTGGACGTGGCGCAGACGGATATCCTGAGCGTCGCTCTCGCAGTGGTCATGGCGACTCTTCTGGAGGATATACTGCTGCGGCTCGGCGGGCTGCTGGCAAGGCTACGCGTGTGGAGCTCGAGGGTCGTGGACATGGACCTGCTTGTGCTACCCCTACGCTTCCGTCGCAGGAGCCCGCTGGCGCCCTTGGTCGTGCTGGCGATGGTGCTCTCGATTCCCTGGAGGGTCTCTCGCAGTTCGCCACCTTCCCGTCGCAGGAGTTACGCGGGACCTTGCAGCGGCTGGCACGGGCCCACCGTCACCTATAGCGTTCGAGATCCACACGCCCATCGTCGGCAACTTGGAGGGCGCCTCGATGCTTGCTGCTCCTGCCCCTGGTGGTGCTAACTGCGCTTCAGGAAGGGGTGGGGGTCATGGGGGCGACCCCTGGGCTGGCGCAGCTGCTGCTCGGCAGGCGGAGGCGTTGCACCGTGAGCTGTTCGCCGACTTACAGCAGTCTTGCATGGATCAGGTGTCTTCTCTCTGTGTCGAGTCGCTGCAGAAGAGTCTCCCTGGCGCCCTTGCTGCTGCAACGGCGCCGATGTTCAAGAAGTTCGATGCGAAGGTCCCCCAGCTCTTCAACCAGCTCTCGGAGCAGGTCTCGGCGACCAACTCCCGCGTGGACGCGATGGAGGGTGCCCAGCGTGAGCTGCTGCGTCGCCTGGAACGATTGGAGGGTGAGC